TAGATGTATGATGTATGTGAATATTGTTGGTGTGCTCCCGGTGAGGAGGGTGATGGCCTGTTGTCCATCGATATTATTTTTCGTGCTCCCTGTGAGGAGGGTGATGGCCCAGTGACCATCGGTATTGTTGGTGTGCTCCCGTAGAGGAGGGTGATGGCCATGTGTCCATCGATGTTAATATGTTGTGCTCCCGGTGAGGAGGGTGATGGCCATGTGTCCATCGATGTTGATGAGGTGCTCCCATAGTGGAGGGTGATGGCCAAGTGTCCATCAGAGATATGCTCCCATTGTGGAGGGTGATGGCCAGGTGTCCATCGGTATTGTTGTGGTGCTCCCATTGTGGAGGGTTGATGGCCATTTTCCCATCAGTGTAGTGTGCTCCCTGAGTGGAGGGTTGATGGCCAAGTGTCCATCGTTGATATGTGCTCCTGTGTGGAGGGTTGATGGCCAGTTGCCCATCGTGATTGTGAGTCGGTACCGCATGTTAAGAGTTGTGTGAGTGCATTTGTTGCGTGATTGTGTATTGTGGTTGATGGTGGGACCGTGAGTCCGGATGATATGTATATGAAATAGTATTATTATTGATTTCTGCCTTTCATTTCATGTACTATTATACCATTATTATTTGATCGTGATTATCACCCCTTTGTTGTTGTTGTGGTCTGTACTTCTTCGGAAATATAGACAATCCAGGTGTTTAGCTAGCTTGGATTATGGTGTCTCTGTAAGACTGCTCTGATACATAACACCGGGGCCTTTTTGAGAGTTTTATCGCTTTATGTTGATTTCGTGTGCCCCTGTGGCGTATCCTGTTTGATGGTGATTGTAGATGATGCTATTGTATTTTGGGCAGATGGCCATTGTTGTATATATATATATATATATATATATATATATATATATATATATATATATATATATATATATATATATATATATATATATATATATATATATATATATATATATATATATATATATATATATATATATATATATATATATATATATATATATATATATATATATATATATATATATATATATATATATATATATATATATATATATATATATATATATATATATATATATATATATATATATATATATATATATATATATATATATATATATATATATATATATATATATATATATATATATATATATATATATATATATATATATATATATATATATATATATATATATATATATATATATATATATATATATATATATATATATATATATATATATATATATATATATATATATATATATATATATATATATATATATATGACGAGGATGATGGATATGGATAATATATATATGATGTTTTGTGATTTATGACAGACTATGTATATATATTTTCCGCTGCAGTTTTATTGAGAAATTAATTTGGAAAAATGTTTTGTGGAATTTTAGTGTGAATCGTGACATCCTATTTTGGGAGATACTCTGATGTGTGCTTATTTAATTGTTTTATTTTATTTTGGGAAACGGGGTGTTACACTCTACGTGAGTGTCTTGCCACGAACAGTTACCTTTCCCTTTTAACCTAGCCTTAGGTTTAGAGTCACCGCACTCTATGTAGGTGTCTTGCCATAGACACTTACCTTTCCTCTAGAACCTTGACCACATTCAAGAGTTCCTCACCCGTCGCCAGGAGAACTATGAATGCTCTGATTCTATCCTTGTTAGGATACACAGGCACAAGACGCGATGTCTTGGCGAGCATACTTAACAAATACCTTAGGTCTTTTCCTTAGCAAACAAACTTTAGCATAACCCAAGTACTAGCACCTTCCCTAGGTATAACCAACCCTCGATCCTTAGATCTCTTAGCTTTGTTGTCACATAGCGCACTTAGGGTTTTCTTCGATCTTTACCTCTTCCTTTAGATAAACCAAAGCTCGATGGTGAACTTCATGATTTGTAATTTAAGTTAATCAATAGCTTGATATCTGATTCACTGTAACAGAATGGAATAAAAAACTATGGATGAATTCATGCTAAGAGAAATATTTGCAAGAGAGTCCACATAAGAGTTTCCTTCTCTAAAAATATGAGATATAATAAGGTTAGAATTAGAAAAATGACCTATAAGATTAATCCAAGTGTTCCCAAACTTCCAGTGAACCAAAAGAGGGTTGGAATAGGATTTGATGACCAAAGAACAATCCGTCTCAATCCAAAGCATATTCGAACCCTTTTGAACTGCAAAATCCAAGCACTTGATAACAGAGGAGACCTCGGCAGAAAAAGAAGATATGGGTTCGACTATGTCTGCAAACCCAAGAATGAAATTTCCCAAGTGATTCCTAAAAACACCACCATCTCCGGCAGAGTTTGATGAAGATTTGAAAGCTCCATCACACTTTCATTTTATCCAACCGATAGAAGGAGGGCACTAAACCACCTCAATGATGTTAGGTGCTCTAGGAGGTCTGATGTTGACGTCAAAAGATTTTATGATAGAGAAATCAAAAACAGAGATGTAAGAGTATTTTGAAGTATTATTGCCTGCAGTTTTCACCTCCATACTAATCAAAGCGATGAAGTTCCGAATGTAAATTTTATTATTATTGTGCTTCAGTTCATTTCTCACCTTCTATGTCTGAGACAGAGAGAATATTATGGCAGCTTTTGAAATCAGAGCTACCTGCACATATTTGCTAGTCGTACAAAATGTTATTAGCTCCTTAATAAACATAAACACCATTCTGAAATTAACTTTGTGTCTAAGTCAACTCCAAATCCCCTGCGCGTAGGGACAATTTATGAAAAAATGATCAAGAGTCTCCATATCTACATTACAAAGGTAGCAGTGCAAAACCAAAGTAACACCCCGCTTCACAACCTGACAGTCCATAGAGAGTTACCCACGAATGAGCTTCCAAACAAGTGACGAGTGCCTCAGAGGGGTATCGGCACATAATACTTCCCTGGCCCAATTATAGATAGCCGCAGCTGGAGATTTCCCGGTGTAAGCATCTTTGAGCATGAGAGAGGCTTTATCAGTTGGGAACCAAATAAGCCTGTCATCAACACCGGAATTTAAAGGTGGAATGAAGGAGAAAATGAAAGGGAACCAAAGCTGCCAATCACTTGGGAAAGTCCAAGTCCTTTCCGGTTAAAAAGTTGAGACTTTACTGCTAGAAGAAATACCTTTGGATGCCAAAAAATTCACAGAAGTGGAATCTACCAGCGGCTGACCGCACTAGTTATCGAGCCAGAAGTTAACATCCTTGCTAGAAGCAACTAGTCAACGAGTGTTCGAGTGAACCATCTCAATTCTATTTTTGCACCAGACCATAAAGAGAAGAAAACATGGTATTTAATAATCCCTTTAGGCCTAAGAAGTCTCCCTCTAAGAATGACAGCCCAATCGTCCCTGCTACTAAAAAGCTCCCATCAAAGCCTTAAATTGAAAGCCTCATTAAGACGCATAATTGGCTTAAGGCCAAGCCCACCACCACTAACTGGCTGACAACACTTTTTCCAAGCCACCATGAACATACTTCGTTTATGAATATCGCCAGTCTAGATGAAATTCCTACACACTTGTTCTAGATTTTTTATTAAGGAAACAGGCCAAGAGTAGACAACCATAGTGTATTAAAGCATACAGTAAACCGTAGACTTTACAAGCGTGATTCTCCCCGCCATTGAAAGAAGAGATCCCTTCCGAGAAGACATCTTTCCAAATATTCTATCGGCAATCGGTTGCAAATGGTAGGCCTTTACTCTACCTTTAAACAAAGGAACTCCCAAATAGGTGAAAGGAAGACTGCCACATTTGAAACCAGCCAGCTTCATAATTTTCTGTCGCTGGTTTGTGCTAACAGTTCCAGGAAAGAAGAAAGATGTTCCAAGATTGATATTCTGTCCCAAAGCAGCTGTGTACTCAACAAATACCTTCTTGAGAGCTCTAATGTTTGTTATCTTAGCAGTGCAAAATATGAGGATGTCGTCATCATAAAGGATATGGGATAGGATTAGCGAATTTTTGGAAGATTTGATGAGCTCAAGATCCCCATTCAAGACCAACTTTCCAATGCTACGACTTAAAACGTCTTCGGCCAGGCAGAATAAAAGGGGAGAGAGTGGATCCCCTTGTCTCACACCTTGAAAACATTTGAAGTAACTGTGTTGGATACCATTAAAATTGAGCGAAATTATGGCTGATGAAAGAAGAGTCGCAATCCAATCACAGAACTTATTGTAGAAACCAAACTGCTTTAGAATTGAAATAAAAAAGTTCCATCTTTTTGTGTCGAATGCCTTAGAAGTGTCGACCTTAAAATCAAGGTTACCATGAGAACATTTTCTATCCAGAACATTAATCGCCTCGGAGGCTAAACAGGTACACTCGCGGATGTTCCTACCATTAATGAAACCTCTGCTCAACTGAAATAATCTAAGGCATGATGGTAAATAATCTGTTAGCTAAGATCCTCGAAATTATCTTGTATTTGAAATTTGACAGTGCAATAGGACAAAACATGTCCATGGAATTTGCATCCTTAGATTTGGGAATTAAAATCAGGGAGTTAGCATTAAAATTCGGGAGCAGACACCCAGTACTGAAAAACTCAAGAACCGCAACACCAACATCTCATTTGATAATGTCCTAATATGTATGGTAGAATACCCCTCCAAAACCATCAGGACCGAGAGCGCTAGATTTATTGAGATTGAAAATAGTTGTAGTGATTTCGTCCAACAAAGGCAGAAGAGTTAAGAGATTATTAGTGTCAGAATCCACCAAGGAAGGGATAACATTGTCAGTGATCTTAGGCTCCTGCAGAGTACCTGCAAAACAAAAGAGATTAGTGTAATAATCCACAACAATTGCAGCCATCACAGTAGGATCGGTGACGATTTGTCCTCGTTTTTAAGAATGGCAATAATGTAATTTTCTCTCTTGATTTTGGCCATACGGTGAAAGAAATCAGTATTTCTGTCCCCTCACTTGTGCATCTTAAGATTCACTTTTTTCGACCACAAGACTTCTTCATAATGCTGCATTTTTTCGAGTTTTGTTTGAACTTCCTTTTTATAGCTTTAAGATCACTCTTGGGGCCATGTAAACTGATTTCCTGCTGTATTAACTCAAGGGAGAAAAGGCAGCTGCTAATGACTCTTTTGAAATTACCAAAAATGTCTATATTCCAAGTCTTTAAACTCTTTTTCAGGATTTGCAGCTTCGTTTGAAGAATGTACATTGGACAACCGAAAACCTTAATGGCCCAAATTGAAGAAATATGGTCTTTACGATTGTCATGGAAAGTCCACATCTCCAAGAATCTAAAGTGAGAAGGTAATTTAATGATGTCTAAACAAGCTTCTATGAGAATTGGATGGTGGTCGAATTTGAGTCTCGAGAGCGAAATGGCCTGAAAATTGCTGCAAGCGGAGAACCAGTATGAATTTCCAAAAGCTCTGTCAAGCCTTCTTTCAATCGAGGCACTGCCACTTCTACCATTATGCCAAGTGAGAGTGGGACTTTTAGGAGGGAATTCAATCAAGCTAGAATCATTAACCCAAGCCCGAAAATCCAAAATGGAAGCATTACTAGGGCTAGAGAAACTTCTATGCTCATGAGCACCAAGAATGGAATTAAAATCACCAAATATACACCAAGGGATATTTAAAGAGTTTAGACAAAAAGGATGAATCGAATTCATTGAATCCGTCACAATTTAGTTATGAAATATAAATGTCCTAAATTCAGTATTATTTAATTAAGTGACAGAATAAATCCCTCACAAATAATGAGTATTTATTTATAATTCTTGACTAATTAGTGACGAAATATAAACATCACTAAATCAATTATCTTAATTAATGAGGTATTTACAAATCCCTCACTATTATTTAGTGAAATATGTTCACAAAGGTGAATTTCTTTTCAATATTTAGTGATGGAACGTTAGTGTCAGTGATAGATTAATTTCATATCTATTGTGACTAAATTTAAAATCCTTCATAAAAATTTTGCGACATTAAAATTCAGTATGGATATTGGTTCGTTGCTAAATTCATTACTAAATTGATTTGTGATGGAATTTTAGTGTATTAGTGACATAATACTGCCCTCTTTAAATTTATTTTTTTTTAATAGTGAAACAAAAATACAAAATAGTAAAATGCACTTTTAGTCTCTTCTGTATTCCAGTCGTTCAATCAAGGTCATGTAGAGTTGTCTCACAAGTAGATGGATCATGTAATCCTTGCAATTGGATTTTTGCTTTATTTGCATGATCACTAACAAATCACACATAGGCATCAAATGCAAAAAACAATAAGAATATGAGAGTAATATAACAATTCTTCTATACTCTAAAAAGAAAACATCTCTTTCAACCTATAACCATCTCATCAATGAAAAACATCTCTTTCAACCTATAACCATCTCATCAATGATATAGTGTTATTACTTTTATATGATTAAGGAGAGGGGGAAGAGGGAAATGCAATTGGATTAATTCTATTTCATTTAGGGGGAAAGAAGGTGATTAAAATCTTGTAGAAAATTATTTGTTTTCCCTTAAATTAGAGGATTTAGAGGAGAGATGGAATATTTAAGAAAAAATTACATTAACAAAACTACCTTCAATTTTTTTATTAAAATAACATATTCTTTGAATATTAAAAGTTTTAGTGTCATCTCTTCATGCTACACTATTAAATATAAATATACATATTTCTACACTTAATTTTTTATAATTATAATTTTTCACTATATTATTAGTTTCCTATTTTCTATATATTTTCTAATATATATATATATATATATATATATATATATATATATATATATATATATATATATATATATATATATATATATATATATATATATATATATATATATATATATATATATATATATATATATATATATATATATATATATATATATATATATATATATATATATATATATATATATATATATATATATATAACAAAAAGTTAAAAAGTTGTTACTTTTTATTTATTTACAAATACAAAGTAATTATGGTTTAATAAAATTTAAAGTAAAACTATTCATAGATAGATTAACTACTTTGAAAAGATATTATCACTGTTATTATAAATATATTTATTTTAAATATTTATAATATTAATGTTTCTGTGTTGTTTATAAATATATAAATTTTTCTGAAATTTGATAAAACTTGTTTTGGCTTTAATAAGAGTATTCTAACATTTTAAAAATAAAATGATAAATTAATTTTAAAATCTCTAATTCTCGTGTTAACTAAATATATTGTACTAAATATACAGATAAAAAAACAATACAACGTATTAAACCAAAACCATTCAGAATTGATAAGTCGAAAAATCTTTGTTAATATTACTATCTACAAAATGGAAGAAACAGTTAGTTTAAGACCCAAAACTTATGGTGGCTAATGTAACATTCTAAATATTTCCACAAAATTTAAAATAAAAATTAGAGTAAAATAAAATACAAACATTATTTAGGATGCTACAAATCAACCAAACATATATAACACAATATTCTTAATAATAATAATAATAATAATAATAATAATAATAATAATAATAATAATAATAATAATAATAATAATAACAATAATAATAATAATAATAATAATAATAATGTCTGAATTTCAACTTTCACAAGATTAAATTTCTTACCTTTCTTAACTTTCTTATCTAGAATTTTTGCCCTTTGAAATAATTCCTTGCTTAGTTGATTATTTTTTTTCTTTATTACGGGAGATCCAAGAATTATACAATTCATTCTCATTATTGGAGGTTTTCTCTGTTCTGAAGAGATCCATTTTTTTTTTCATGATGTTCAGAAAAGTAGATAAATGAGGTGGATACGTGAAAGATATTCGTTTTTTTCCATCACTTTGACATGTTTGAAAAAAAAAATTGTGAATTAAGACATAACCATATTCTCATACATCAACATCAATGAATTATTCAAGACATAACCATATTCTCATACATCAACATCAACAAGTTATTCAAAACATAACCATATTTTCAAATTTAACGTAAATAACAACAACTTCAGAAGATATCCAAAAAATCTTCCACAAAACATAACATGCATAAACATTCCATAACTTCGGTGTTACATATCAGAGCAGACGTCGACACTAAAAATAAAACAGAAGACTCCATCTTCTACTCACATCAACTCCTCGACTGCGAGTTATCTGCACGATATTCGTGTAAAGGTAACATTCAAACAGAAAAGGTGAGATATCATTATTATTTAAAGGAAAGTATGATAATAAGTAAGCAACATATTATGACATGCACATCACCCATTCCACAACGCACTACAATGCAATCATCAACCAAACACAACAACGATGCAATCAATATGCAATACAAAAAGACTCAAAACTCGACTCAATGGATGTGGTATCAAATACATTAACACTCATGTTCACCGTTCCGATTCTCGCCTCCTAGGATCATAGCTCACCAATCGTTATCATCTCCGGTAACGTCTCACTGATTCCATCACCTCCGAAATTAGCTACCGGCACTCAATCCCTGCCTCCTGGGGTTGAGGCTCAACAACAACTAACCAATGTCCAACCTCATGAATGCATGCAACATATTATACATGCAAGAACAACATCTAACACAATGACCAACACCTCCATAGTCAAGGTACTCTGCCAATACTGGCCATCATGCACCAAATACATGCTACAACAATCAACAACAGCAAAACAACGATATAGTAATCAACCACAACGCATTTATGAATATGCCACATCACAACATAAGCATCAAAATGCTTTTCGCATTATCACACAACAAAATATACGACCTCTACTATAAAAACCAATTTTTGAATACAGTTTATCACCTCAGCTTTCCGACGGTTTGAACGGCACCCGAATCAGATTCCCGAAACTAAAGTTATGATTTTTCAAAGATTTTTTAAAAATGTTCTCGGTGTAACCGGTTACTCCAAATGAGGTAACCAATTACACCCCTTGTAACCAGATATCACCTGCCTCTGTCTCTTAGTGTAATCGGTTACCATAAATTAGGTAACCAATTATACCCTCACAGTTTTGCCCAATAAAATATTTTTAACACAATGTAACTGGTTGCTACAATCCAGGCAACCGATTACACCTGTAGCAGAAGCACTTTTATGTTACTTTTTAAAACCATAATCACTTTTAATCAACCAAAAACCCCATGTTTCATACCATTCGGTTGGTGCATAATTTTACCCCAAAAATCACTTTTCTAAACATGAAAACTCCGACTCTTTTCACAAAAATACTCATAACTTTGCGTTCTGACTCTGACCCGCAACCACATCAACTAGACAACAACAACATCATACAATCCAGTCAATATTATGATTCCAACAGCAACAATTAGTCATTCCAACATCAATCACAACATCAACATACCACACATAATTCATAAATCAAGGATTCAATCCATTCAATACCAATTTCAACAATGATCATACATAGAGAGAAAAAAAAGCACAAATGCTACATGACATAATCTATCCACCATCATCATATTAACCCTTAGACGATTAGAACCACACCCTTACCTTAGAGTTCTTGCAGGTTCCTCAATAATGGTGATTTCTCCTCTTTCTCCTAGAGCCCTAACATTCACTTTCTCTTTTCTCCAAATTTTTACGATCAGATAGATTTCTCCCACTATCCCCTTATTTCTTATTACTATATTATTATTATTATTATTATTATTATTATTATTATTATTATTATTATTATTATTATTATTATTATTATTATTATTATTATTATTATTATTATTATTATTATTATTATTTAATCCAACTAATTAAAATAATAACAATAATAATACTATTAAATATTTGGCTTAATTGCAACTATGGTCCCCTTATTTTACATTTTTTTGAGTTTTGATCCCCTCATTTTAAAAACCATGATTTTAGTCTCGTTTTTAAGTTTTGAGTTTGATTTTAGTTCCCTTTCCAATTTTAGACTTTTGTTTAATGATGTGGAGTTATGTAAGTTATATTAAAATTAATTTGAGATTTTTTTATTGATTAGAATAATTATTTAATTAGTTAATTAATCAAATTTGTAAATGAAACAAATATTATAATTAAGTTTTTTAAATGTGACTAAGCCCAAATATTATTACAATCTACTTAAGTTACTACCACTTCTTTGTTTCAGCTGTATATACCCTTTTTAACTTATTTATAAATCAATGTGGGACTTGTGTAGAACAGCTTCCTGCAAAGAGCGTATCCATTTCACAGCTTCTTCTAAACTACTTGCTCCCAACTATAAACATGAAACTTAAACAATGAATTAATCTGATGAAATCAGGTCATTCATCAAGGTAGATTTTCTAATCAAGATCCATTAACATTACATGTAGAAATTCCATACCTGCTTTTTATTTCAGCAACCATGGCCATGAAAGCCTGTTCCACATTGTTGGCATTTTTAGCACTAGTTTCCATGAAAGGAATTCCAATTTCATCTGCAAATGCCTAAAATTTGGAGAACACAAATATCCAAACATTAGATAAATGAAGGATTCAAAAAAATGTTAGAAGAAGTGGGGCATGTATATGACATATCAACAAATTTAGGATCACCTTTGCTGTTTCAGAGGACACAACTTTATTATCCGCTAGACCACTCTTGTT